ACATTATGATACCCTACATCGCTTTGTTTTTATGGGGAATTTGTGAGGATTAAATCACACCAACTATGATTATAGTTATAATATCCAATTCTGAACCGATCTCGATGAAATTTGGCAAAGGTATTTCTGAGCTATATTTGATATATTTCCCCGAATATCGTTATTACGGAGTGCATATTACAGCTGTGGAGAACAAATATAACAAATCGGATGAATACAACTATAGCTATATCTTAACAGAGTTTCATCAAATTTGGCGACAGACAGACGGACGGACGGACATGCATAAATCGACTCAGAATGTGATTTTATGCAAACCATCAAAAGGAACTATGGGTCTATCTCGTTTCCTTTTTCCTGTCATAATAACCTGACCACCTTGTGAGAACTCTAAACTAAATATTTTAAAATCCACGTTCTGAGAACCGTAAAAAAGTATTTTAAAATCCACGCTCTGAGAACCCTAAAAAATATTTTAAAATCCACGTTGTGAGAACCCTAAAAAAATATTTTAAAATCCACGCTCTGAGGGCTCTGAAAAAATATTTTAAAACCCATGCTCCTCGATATTTGCTCTGAATGTTCCACAAAAAATATTTTACACGCTTTGAGAACCCTGAAAAATGTTAAAATAAATATTTTAAAATCCATGATCCAAGGTTCCGAAAAAAATTTTAAATGGATGCTCTGACGGCTGACGATTTGGATCTTAAAAATCCAAGCTCTGAGTGCCCTAAAAAAATAGGCTAAAAATTACGCTCATTGCCTCATGTAACCCACAAAAAATAAAAAATCTGGTTCTAAATGTCCAACAAAAAATATTTTAAAATTGTCGGTCTTACCCCTTGATACCTTCGTATATTTAAACATTTTAAAATCAGCGGCCTTAGTTCAGGATTTAGTACCTGGAGTACCTTGACAAATTCACACTTTTAAATCTCAAAAAACCAGAAAAAAATTAAAACGTTTAAATTCGAAATGCTGCGAAAAAAAATCTTTAAAAATCCTATTAAATTAAAATTAAAAAAAATTCGGAGAAAATCGGATCTAAGATTATCTCCGAATAACAGCCTTCACATTACACGCTCTTCGATCTCAATGTCCCTTTAAAAGATCTTTAACAAGCTCTTGACTCTGAAATTCCCAGATAAATCCTGCCTTTTAGAACAGTGTGGCTTCTTTGTTCGGGATACCGTAGTATTTTGTTGTTGCAAAATGGTCGGGCTTATCCCTTTATTGTTGTTTCGGAAAGAGCCACCAATCCTCATCAGTTCCCTTGTTTTTTTTGTCTGGGATATTCTCCCCAGAAGTTGTTTTAAAAATAACTTCTATGACAAAAAACATTTTTTACCCAAGTGACGAGATCGTAAGCTCAATAGAAGAGGAACCAAAGAATTAAATAAAACTAAAATTCTTTTGGAAAGTCTTCTAAATCTTACAACCGCACTTATAAACATTTACATCTTTCTCCACTGCCTTTTACTTCTGAAAGTTTTAGATAAAATCAACAAAAATAAATCTAGTTTCATTGAAAAAAAAATGGACGCTGAAAGGTCTACAAGAAAAAAAATCATAAGAACCGATGACATTCTTCAAAGAACTCTAGAAAAAAATTAATAACAAAAACCCAATTTTTTTATGGAAGTCCTTTTTTGAAAATCTGTGTTTTTCTCTCTGATTGGCCTGGTAAAAAAGTATTACCACCAGTCCTTAGCAGTTATTCGTGAAATTCCGCACTTTCAGCTCTAATAGAGTCCAAATAGATTTTTCGTAAAAATTCAATCTGATGTATGCGTTTTAACATAGATATCCTTATATATTCACATAACTTATTCTCGAGCTTTGAACCCTTTTCCCCACTGTACCCTCAACGAAAAGTAACCACCAACTTGCAATAATATTCCTCTGCCACACCATGCCGGCAAAACTGTAATGAAAGTCAAACATGCAACCTTATTAAGAGAGTTTGAGTCAAAGAGAGAGGGAAAGAGAGAGAGAGAGACAAAGAAAACTTTGGAGATAATACAATATATCCTTTTTGGCAACTCAAATAAAAGAAAAGGTAAATCCAAATGTTTTGGGACTTTTGGGAAAGATAAAGTTTGTTTTATTTTAACTTTTACGAATGTGTTTATCTTGCATTTTGTATTTTCGTATTATCTCTCTCATATCCTTACACCATGCGCTGTGGGCAGAGATGGAAGTTGTGATTCTTTAATTTTTTTTCGTATTTTAAGTAGCAAGTAAAGAAAAAAATAAATAAAGACATATTAAAATAAATACGCAAAATTATAAGAAATTCGAACATTTATATCAACTTTTATGCGTAATCATAAATTCTATATTCATCTCAGGTGTCAGGGGGAGAGAAATATTTAGATATAGCAAGTTGTAAAGAATCCCTGACTTCTTACGCAAGTTATGACACCCTTTGTGGGTGAGGTACCAGGAGGCGTTCGCAGACATATATCATCTTCGCAAAAGATCTTGTGTTAGCAAAAATGTTTGTATGTGTATGTGCTTTCTTTCAGCGTTTTGTTTTTCAAAATCTATGTGGGGGTGGTACCAGAAGAAGTTGTCCGATCCCTACCATATTTATAACAGATCTTGGGTTGATGAAACTATTGACATGTACCAAGTCTGAAAGGAATCGGATGTTAATTTCGTTTTATATAAGCTTCGTGGATAATCAAAACGTTGACCCTTTATGTGGGAAGGGACCAAAACGAGTGGACCGATATATCCCATCTTCCCATCAGATATTGTGTAAGTAGAAATATTGGGATGTGTGAAATATGAAGAGAACCGGATGCGTATTTCGGAATTTATGATCGTTTAGGTTATTCAAAACATTGACCCTTTGTGGGGGAGGTACCAGAAGAGATAGTCCGATCTCTACCATCTTTATAACAGATCTTGTGTTGATAAAAATATTGAGATGTGCCAAGTCTGAATGGAATAAGATGTTTTTTTTCGCGTTTTATGAGCTTCATGAATATTCAAAATATTGACTCTTTGTGGGGAAGGTACTTGATGGATATTGTCCATTTTTCCACCTGATCTAGCACTGATGCAAATATTAGGATTTGCAAAGTTGGAGAAAAATCGGATTATCCTTTCTCTCTCTCTGTGCAGTTAAATATATTTGTGTTTTTTTGAAAATGTTGACCTTTTGTGGGGAAGGTATCAGAAGAAGTGGGCCGATATTGCCCGTTTCCGAATCTAGATTTGTTAATAATCCACTCCAAAAGTCTATCGGCGATATTTTTTTTTTGAATGTACCTCCTAAACTTCAAAAATTAGCCTAAGATTCTATCCGTTTCGGACAGGTACCGAACAGATATCTTCAATATATTCTGAAAACAAGATTGTTAATTATCGATTTTCTAATAGAGATTGAATTGATTTAACAAGTAAAGAAGCAGCTAAGTTCGGCCGGTTCGAACTGTATAACCACCTCCAACATTCGGAAGAAACTTGAAAAATAAAACAAAAACCGCAAAATAATATCTCCCAAATGAATGCCTTTATATGGAGGCTTTGCGAAGACGTGATGCTGGATAAGTGATTTCTTGTTATAGGCTGTAGTAACGATTCCAAACTTCAAATACGAAATTTGACGCAATTCCTGTGAATAATGTAGCTAATATCATCCAAATACCGAATAAAGGGAGGTACCGTTGTATGGGGGCTATACTAAGAGGTAGACCCGCATAGACAATTTTCCGTCGTTGGCTGTTGTACCCACATTACGAACTTCAAATACGAAATTTTACGCAATTGCGGTGAATAATGTCTCGAAAATCCTGGAAATATCGAATATCGCGGGATAGCGTTATGGGTGCTACACTAAAACGTAGACCTATATATAGACAATTCTCTTCCAGCGCGGGTAAAGTACTCACAGAGAACTCCTTTTGTAGAATTTCAAACAATTCCATTGAAAAATGTAGCTAAAATTATCAAAATACCGAATATCGGGAGGCACGATTGTATGAGGGCTATATGATATCGTGGACCTATATAGAAAATTCCCCTTCAGGGGGTAAAGTACTCACAGAGAACTTTTTGTGTAGAATTTCAGACAATGCCATTGAAAAATGTTGCAAAAATCACCAAAATACCCAATATCGCGGGGCACCGTTGTATGGGGGCTTTACGATATCGTGGACCGATATAGTCCATCTTAGAACTTAACCTGCCTGCAGACAAAATACAGATCGGTGCAAAATGTTACCTTCCTATTTTTATTCGTTTTGACTCTAGCGGGATTACAACAGCAGACGGACGGACAGGGCTAAATCGTCTTAGAATTTTACGCTGATCAAGAATATATATACTCTGTTGGGTCTAAAATGATTATTTACTTAAGAAATGACGAAATAAATATACCCTCCATATTATGTATGGTGGAGGGTATAAAAATATTGTTTATAGCTCTTCTAGATTCTGGAAAAAGGTATAATCCAGCCCAGCTTTGATCGAATCCAAAAATCTCTTTCAGATTTTGAAATATAATTTTTGATATATTAAAGAAGTTTACTTGTTAGAAGCATATCGACATTCTTCTGGGAATACCGACAAAATGCCTCCTCTTAATTGATAAATTTTGCATTCATTGAAAGGAACAAATTCCAATTTCCCATCCCTGTAGAGTGGTCCCCGACACTTTAACTAACCAACAAACCAAACGTAGCGAACACCGAACCGAACTCCATCCATCCATCCGTTCGCCAACCAACCAACCATTCATCTAACCATCCATCCATCCACCGTCGGACAAAACAAACCAAACAAACAACAAAAATAGTAGTCATCCATCCAAACATCAACATCGACCCAACGGCAACACAACAGAAAAGAGATAAAGATTTTTTCGTTGTTGTTGTGTACTCACACTCGCTCTCTCTCATATTATCACAGAAAATATCAGCTGTTTGCAGCAACAACAACAACAATAACACCAACCATCAGAGCAATGAGAAATGAAAAATCAACATGCGCTTGGCTTCGTTTGCTGTGAGTGTGCCCGTCGTTCGTCCGTCCCTCCGCCCGTTTGTTTGTTTGTCGTTCGTTTTCGTCGTATCTTTGTATCTGACAGTAAAAATTTCATTACTTAACGCTCATTCGCTCATTCAGTTTACTATAGAACGTGAAACAGGCAGCAACACAAAGGCAGTGTCGTTGTTTTCTTTTAATATTTTTTTTAAATAATTTTTCGAAATATAAAAAGTGTTGCTGGACACGCTGCTCGCTCGCCTCGCATTGTCTCGAAAATGAAAACAAAAATTTGAAAATTTTTTACATTTAAGAAAAAAAAATGAAGAAAACATGCAAAGGAAGGTGTTTTGAAATGAAGATGCAACCAAAAGTGAAATAATAACAAATCGGAAAATAAAAACAAAAAAGTGTGAAACGAAAATAGTTAAATGCCAAAAATTGAAAATCAAAACAAAAGTGTTGAGAAATTTTGCGTATTGAAAAATAAATAAAACAAATGGTTGAGGTAATGAAAATTGTGGCCGAATAAAAATGGGCGGCAAATAAAACTGTGGCAAAATGCATACCGAATGAAATAGAGAAGCAGAGTAAAGTGCTTATAAGAAAATGAAACCAAAATAAAAAGAAAAAAATAAAAAATAAATAAATTCTTGCTTAACCAAAGTTAAAGCTTAACCCCAACAAAACGATATCTGCGATATTATAAAACACAACGTGTTGTATCTCTCAATACAACAAAACAAAAAATAAAAAAATAAATAAATGTTGTTTATCTTCAAAAGTGTGCAAGAAAATATTTCAAAATTAATAGCAAAAAAAAAAAGTTATCGCAAAATAATATCGAATTAATTCTTAAGAATTTGTTGGTACGAAAAACGAAACAAAAATAAAAAATAGTGACACAAGTTTGCAAAAAAAAAAAATACTAGCCATGATGACTGACCAGCAGTTGTGAGTTTTGGTTTGTCATACACGGTATGTCAGTCAATGCGACAGTGTGTCAGTCGATACTGATACTACAGTGAATGAATGTGTTTGTCTCTCATGCATCAGCTAGCCAACCATCATCAACAACAACAATAGCGCCCAGCTGATTAGAATTAACGTGGATATTAAATAACCAAAAACAACAGCAACAACAAATATCATACCCCATCACCAACAACAATTATGTTTGGTAATAATTATTTCGTTTTTGTTTTATTCTTCCACATTTTACTATTTATCAAATGAAAAAAAAAGAAATATGAAAAAAGTATTGAATTTCACCATTTGCATGGATAATCATCAGCTGACTTGAAATTCAAACCGAAACACCGATTTGTAATAATTTTCTTTTCAAAAGAAATTGGATTCAGTGCTATCAGTGAACAGGTGTTTCCATTTCTTTGGATAAAAAAGAAACAACATTGGAATTTTCTATAGAAGTGAAAAAAAGAAAATTAAAAATTGGAAAAATGGTCATGGAGAAATGTTTTGAATATTGAATTTACGTTATCAAAATTGAAGTATTGTTTTGAAAATGGCTGTAAAAGAAAGCTCATCAACGAAATTATTTATTTGGAAATTCATATTCGATATTGTGACAATACAGAGCAGTTTGGATTTAAAGTCATATAGAACTACAAACAAAAGTTAAACCAGTAAGGAAAAGTCGGGTGGGGCCGACTATATGTTACCCTACACCACTATGCATATTTAGTAGAGCTCCCGTAACAAAAGAATTCATTTGAAGTACAAGGTTGCCCATATTCGACGGACCCATCTGGCAACGCCATAACTTTTGACAGAGATGTCACATCGCTTAATGACATACCGCGTTGGAAGCGTCAGTCCAAGCAGATTTTTGCCATGAACCAATACACGCCACGCGAGCGCTCTGAAATAGTTGAAATTTACAAGAAGTCAATTGTGAAAACTCAACGTGCTTTTAAAGCATTAAAAAATGTGAGAAGTGCGCCTTCTAAGAACACCATTAAGCGCTTATACGAAAAATTTTCGACTGGTAAGGGTCTTTCTAATCCGAAGAGGCCATATAAAAGTCGACCAAGGCGATCGGCCGAGAATATCGCTGCCGTACGGGCCAGTGTTGAGAGGTCCCCAAGAACATCCGAAAAACGGCGTTCTCAGCAGTTGGGCATGGCTCGGTCCACTTTACAACGGATTATTCGCATTGATTTGCATTTGTTCCCGTACAAAATTCAATTGACGCAAAGAATGTTCCCTGCGGACAAGCCTCGTCGATTGGAATGGGCCCAAAGGTCCGTCGAATATGGGCAACCCTGTAGATAATAACACCTATCAACATTTGACTTTAGAGCAGTTATAGTTTGGTTTCAGAGGGAACTAATATGTAGGAGGCATATCTAATTCTGAATCGATTTTCACTAAATTTGACGGAGACATTTTAATCTTCTATACCATCAGTACATGATATCACTTCGAGAAGGATTATATTAAAACAAGTAAAAAAACATTAAGATCGGCCGGGCCGAAGTTTTAATACCCTCCACCTTAGGGTAATGGAAACACTAGAACCAACTATGACCCACAAATACCAATTTTTAGACGAATCCGTGATAAAATGTGACAAAAACCATCAAAATACCGAATATTGGAAGATATCGTTATATGGAGGCTATACCAAAGCGTGGACCTATACATACACTGTTTCGGCACATGAACTAGGACCCATTATAACCTACAAATACCAATTTTCAGACAAATCCATGGAAAAATGTGACAAAAACCATCAAAATACCGAATATTGGGAGGTACCGATATATGGGGGCTATACCAAAGCGTGGACCTATTCATGCAAAGTTTCGCCACCGGAGCTAGAATCCATTATAACCAACAAATACCAATTTTTAGACAAATCCAAGAAAAAATGTGAAAAAAATCATCAAAATACCGAATATCGGGAGGTACCGTTATATGGGGGCTATACCAAAGCGTGGACCTATACATACAATGTTTCGCCGCACGAACTAGGACCAATTATGACCAACAAATACCAATTTTCAGACAAATCCGGGAAAAAGTGTGGCAAAAATCATCAAAATACCGAAAATCGGGATGTACCGTTATATGGGGACTATATCAAAACGTGGACCGATATATCTCATTTACAATACCAATCATCCTAGACATAATATAAATTAATCTCCTAAATTTTGACGCTCTACGTCAAATAATGTGGGCTGTATCGTGATTTCAACAGACAGACAGACGTCTTAGAATTTTATGCTGATTATGAATATATATACATTAAAGGGTATACGACGAATATTGACAAATGAATGACAAAGTTAATATACCCTCCTTTCCAAGGTGGAGGGTATAAAGAAATATATATCGGAGCTGAGTTCCACCAAATGGAAACGTACGTCCCGGAATTCACCCCATTTGGACTGGTATTAGCCATTATTTGCACAATAAACCTGAAATCGGATTAAGGATATTTATGGGACATTTATTCAAATCTAAACCAATCTTGATAAAATTTGGCAAAAGTATTTCTGAGCTCTATAAGATATCTGATACCAAATATAATTGTTGTCGAACGCATATTACAAATATAGTGTCTCATAACACCAAATCGGATGAAACATATATGTGGAAGCTATAGCTATATCTGAACCGGTTTTCTCCAAATTTGATGTACATGCTTCTAGACTGAATTCGGTCGGATGTACGAAAATTCAGGTCATTTGGACTGATATTGGCCATTTGGTGCACAATTAAACCGAAATCGGTTGAAGATATATGTGGGTGTCCAAATCTAAACCAATCTTGATAAAATTTTACAGAAGTATTTCTGAGCTCTATAAGATATTTTGTACCAAATATCATTGTTGTCGAATGCATATTACGCATGCGAGGGACTTAAAACACCAAATCGGATGAAAAATATATATGGGAGATATAGCTATATCTGAACCGATTTTCTCCAAATTTGATGTACTTCTAAACTGAATTCGGTCAGTTGTACCAAAATTCAGGATATTAGGACTTATATTGGCCATTTGGTGCACAATTAATACGATATCGGTTGAAGATATATGGGAGCAATATCTAAGTCTGATTCGATTATTACCGTCCTTGGGCCTAACAAATATTGTTTGCAAAATTTCATCTTAATTGTTTACATTTTGTTTACATGGATGGACGGACTGACATGCATAAATTGACGCAGAAAGTGATTATATGAATATCCTCTATCTCGCTTTCTTTTCCCTGTTACAAACAAATGCTCAAAGACATAATACGCTTACCACTATATGGTGTAGGGTATAAAAGGTACCAAGTTCGTCCCAGCGTAATTTTTAGTACCTACCCTCCTCCACAAGGAAAAGAAAAACCTGTAAACGAGGATATTCGATTTTAATTCGAAAAGACAGGTGAAATCACTAATAAAGCCCCCAAAAACCCATTATCGGGTGATCTGAACCGAATTTTTCGCACGGAACTACACTGTAATGAAAAAAATTAGAAATGTAAAATTGCAAGAATTTTGTTGTTAAAAACTGGTTTAATACCGAAAATAGGCTCTACCTTCCAAGGACTTGCACCTACATGCATTTCAATACCATTTTGGGGGATCCTGAAAAGTTATATATTGAAAATACACGGAATTTGGGGAAGGGGAAATTTTTCAAAAATCAACGTTGGGGGTGGCGTTTGGGTTGTTGAAAAAATATTTAATAAAAATCCCATTGTCTTCCCTAACCTCCACCAACAAATTCATTGGAAATTCATGCGGTATTAGACATGAGTTCTCGAAACTAATTCTTATAAAATCCATGAATGTGTCTCTTAGGTTCGCCCAAATCAAAAATCTATAACAATTCTCTATAGTTTGCCAAAAAGTCTCCGAAGTACATTGATTGCGATTTTGAAGGGTTTTCCTTAAGGTTTCCGAAAAAACTGAAATATATATGTATAAAATTCTGGTTTTCCCTCAAAGTCTCTGAAAGGAAATCCTGAAAAATTTGCCTAAAAATTGTTTTTTTTTGTCCTGAGAGTTACTGAAAAAATAAATAAATGTCTGAAAAGAAGCCATTCACGAGGGCGTTCGAACACCTAAACTTTGTACGTCCCAGGTACATTCATTTAGAATTCATACCCCTAAACGAAAGTTTTCTATCGTGAGGATACCCGAAAATTAAATTAATAAAAACATGGAAGTTATTAACAAGTAACAAGTAAAAATGCTGTAAGTTCGGCCGGGTCGAACTTTGAATACCCTCCACCATTTGGTACAAATTTGGCAATTTTCAAAACAATAAAATTCGTTAAAAATTCTGTTAAAATTTTAAAAACACTGAATGTAGCCGTATATTAGGTCGATAAGACGACGTGGACCTGCATAAGCAACTTTGTCACAAGCTATTACAATATTCAAATGCGAAACATGAAACAAATCTGTTTATAATTTAGCTAAAATCATCGAAATATAGGGAGGTACTATGGGGGTTATAAAAAGTGGAGCAGACAATTTTCTGTCATATCCATTACGAACTTCAAATGCAAAATTTGAAATATTTCCGGTAAATAATGTCGCTAAAATCATCAAAATACCGAATATTGGGAGGTACCGTTATATGGGGGCCATATGAAGACGTGGACCTACATGGCCCATTTTCTGTCTTAAGCCGTAGTATCTATTACTAACTTCAAATACCAAATTTGAAACAATTCCGCTAAATAATGTCGCTAAAATTATCAAAATACCGAATATAGGGAGGTACCGTTATATGGGGGCTATGCGAAGACGTGAACTTGCACAAACAGTTTTCTGTCTCAGGCTGTAGTATCCATTACGAACTTCAAGTACCAAATTTGAAACAATTCCGGTAAATAATGTTGGTAAAATCGTCAAAATACCGAATATCGGGGGGTACCGTTACATTTGGGCTATACGAAGACGTGAACCTACACAGACAGTTTTCTGTCTCAGGCTGTAGTATCCACTTCGAACTTCAAATGCCAAATTTGAAACAATTCCGGTGAATAATGTCGCTAAAATCATAAAAATACCGAATATCGGGGGGTACCGTTGTATGGAGGCTAAATGATAACGTGGACCTACATGGCCCATTTACGAACTTAATCTGCCTACTGGCAAAATATATATGAGTGCAAAATTTTAGCCTTCTATCTCAATTCGTTCGA